TGCGGATGACATTGTGATCTGTAGTGAGAGCAGAGAGCAGGTGGAGGAACACCTTGGAAGGCGGAGGTCTGTGTTGGAAAGAAGAGGAATGAAAGTCAGTTGTAGTAAGACAGAATACATGTGTATGAATGAGAGGGAGGGAAGTGGAACAATGTGTGAGGAGTGTTGTGTGACAGAAGAGTGTCAGCAAGAATCAAAGGAAAGGTGTACAAGACAGTAGTGAGACCAGCTATGCTGTATGGGTTAGAGACTGTAGCAGTGAGGAAAAGAGGCACAGATGGAGGTAGCAGAGATGAAGATGTTGAGGTTCTCTTTAGGAGAGACCCGGATGGCCAGGATTAGGAATGAGCACATCAGAGGGACAGCTCAGGTCGGCTGTTTTTTGGGACAAGGTCAGAGAGGCCAGATTGAGATGGTTTGGACATGTGCAGAGGAGGGATAGTGGTTATATTGGTAGAAGGATGTTGGAGATGGAGCTGCCAGGCAAGAGGTCAAGAGGAAGGCCAAAGAGGAGATATATGGATGTGCTAAAAGAGGACATGAAGTTAATTGGGGTGAGAGTAGAGGATGCCGAGGATAGAGTTAGGTGGAAACAGATGATTCCCTGTGGCGACCCCTAATGGGAACAGCCGAAAGGAGAAGACGATATACAATATACAACAGACTATGGTATATTAAGCTATAGAACACTAGTGCAATGGGATGAAATGAAATGAAATTGTGCAGAGTAAGAAGATAAGTTACATGAGTGAACAGTTCAATGGATGCAAATAGGTTCAAGGTTCAAGGATTTTATTGTCAATTCACCATAAGTGCAGGACATACAGAAAATTGAAATACCGTTTCTCTCTCACCTAGTATTGGCTGCCATAACATTTAGGAACTAAAATAAAATAAAGTAGAATAAAAATAAGATGGAATAGAATAAGAACTGGATTAAAGTAATTAGGATAAATCTAAACGGTACAGCCGATTTGCTGTGACTCAAAACCATGTACAGTCAATGGCAGTAGTGCAAAACAGTGATAGGAGATTGTCAAATGGTTGGTGATGAGGGCGTTGGTGATGAGGTGCAAATAGCATATGAGGTATATATGGACAGTATTGCAAATGAGTAACAGCAGCAGATATCCCAGCAAAAAAAAAAACAGTCAGCAGCAGATTTACGTGTAATATAACAAAACAGGGGAATGTATTGAGTTTGTGCAACAGCAGGGGTAGTCTTTTTATATCTTTTTATGTTCTGCGATGGGTTACGGTCCGGGGGGGAGGTGGGTAGTGAACAGTGTTCAGCATCCTCACAGCCTGGTGAATGAAGCTGTTTGTAAGTCTGTTGGAGTGGGCTTGAAGACTCCGTTATCTTCTCCCTGAAGGCAGGAGTATGAAGTGGGAGTGTGCAGGGTGGGAGCTGAGCCATCAGCAATGCTGATGGCTCTGCGGGTGAAGTGGGTGCTGTACCTCCTCCCTGTAGGCTGTTTTATTGTTGTCGATGATGAGGCCAATCACCGTGGTGTCGTCTGCAAAATTGATGATGGTGTTGAAGCCATGCACAGGCCTGCAGTCGTGGGTGAAAAGGGAGCAGAGGAATGGGCTCAGCACACAGCCCTGTGGTACTCCGGTGTTGAGGATAATGGTGGAGGAGCAGGTGTTGTCTGTCAACATGCTGGGGCCTGTTAGTCAGAAAGTCCAGAATCCAGTTGCAGAGGGAGGTGCTGATGCCCAGGTCACCAAGTTTGGTGGTTAACTTGGAGGGGATGACCGTGTTAAATGCTGAGCTGAAGTCCACATACAGCATTCTTGCATACATGTTCTTGTTGTCCAGGTGTCTGAGTACAGAGTGCAGTGCTGTGGAGACTGCATCCTCCGTGAGCCTATTCCTGCAGTAGGCAAATTGCTGGGGGTCCAGTGTAGGTGGCAGACATCAGTTGTACCAGGACCATGCGCTCGACGCACTTCATGACAATGGGGATGCATGCTACAGGGTGGTAGTCATTCAGGCACGTCGGGGTGGAATGTTTTGGCACTGGCACAATGGAGGTGGCTTTGAAGCATGTCGGCACAACTGCTTGGGCGAGGAACAGGTTAAAAATGTCTGTAAAGATGCCAGCAAGCTGTCCTGCACATGCCCTGAGCACGCGTCCAGGAATTCCATCAGGGCCAGCAAGCTTGCATACGTTGATCCAGCTCAGAGCAGCATACACGTCAGTTGAAGTGAGTGTCAGTGGCTGGTGGTCTGTGGAGGGTCTGGACTTGATAGGTGTCTCCTTGATGTCCCGGTCAAAGCAAGCATAGATGTCATTTAGCTGATTGAGGAAGGAGACATCTGTTGTTGTTGGGGTGGAGTTTCCGGGCTTGTAGCCAGTGATGACCTGGATGCCCTTCCACATACAGAGTTTGTCAGAGTTTGTTTAGTGTTCCTCGACTTTTAGCGGTGCTTGGTCTGCTTGATGCCCCTCCTTGAAGTGAGTGTCAGTGGCTGGTGGTCTGTGGAGGGTCTGGACTTGATAGGTGTCTCCTTGATGTCCCGGTCAAAGCAAGCATAGATGTCATTTAGCTGATTGAGGAAGGAGACATCTGTTGTTGTTGGGGTGGAGTTTCCGGGCTTGTAGCCAGTGATGACCTGGATGCCCTTCCACATACAGAGTTTGTCAGAGTTTGTTTAGTGTTCCTCGACTTTTAGCGGTGCTTGGTCTGCTTGATGCCCCTCCTCAGGTTGGCCCTGGATAAGCTGTAGGCCTGTGCATCACCAGATCTGAAGGCAGAGTTGTGGGCCTTCAGCAGGGGTCTTGTTGAATGATCCACACAGTGGATGAGTGGTGAGTACTTGGGAATGAGGAACAAAGAAAGGTGATCTGACTGTCCCAAGTTGGGGAGGGGGGGGTCAACTTGTATGCAGCAGCCATGTTTGTGTAAACATGGTGCAGAGTTTTATTTCCTCTAGTGTGGCAGGAAACATGCTGGTGGAATTTAGGAAGCACTGACTTTAGGTTGGAGTGATTAAAATCACCTGCAACAATAAATGCAGCCTCTGGGTGTGCAGTCTTTAGAGTGTAAAGTTGGACCGTCTAAAGTTTAGACAAAGTTTAGAAGTTTCTCCTTCTCCTAGCCCCGCATCTTCACGGGCTTGTCACACCTTGCCACCCGGACACTAAACACCAGCTCATGCATCTACCCCATGTGTACAACCACCATCATACAGTTCTACCAGACATTGTTTTGCAGTTTGTAGATCCAGAGGTGGAAAAAACTATTTTTAACCTGGTAAGACACAGAGATGACCATTCATGTCCTGATGATTATGCAGCCAGGATGTTCATGTGTATTGTGGACATGTCCACATAACAGTCCTGGGCTCATAAAGTTAGCTGGAAGGGGTCTGATGGAAAACAAGGCCATCCAAGGAATGTTAGTCATGAACTTAAAGACCATCTACTGACCAAGTACATGAATATTTAAGCCTGGGAATGGAAAGATGCTAGACACCCGGTTAATGAAAGGCTAAAAAATCCCAGAAAAGTCGACCGCAGGAAAGAAGGGGACAGTCTGTGAAAACCTACAGGAGCACCTCTCTTTTTTACACGAATAAAGTTTCTCTTCAGTTATATATATTGTACAGTGCTACTGTATAGGCCTGTCATGATTTGGACCTTGGCTTCGTGTTTTTTCGTTATTTTTTCCCCTAGATTCTATGTCTCCCCTGCCACATTAGCCCAGCCAGCATAATCACTAATCATCACCTCCACCTGTTGCTCATTAACTCCTGGACTCTTCTGCCGTATAGACGCCCTCTTCCCGTTCATTCCCCGCTGGTTCATCACACTTAGTCTACATACCCATGCTCCCATCTTCGTCGTCTTCACTCACCTGCTTCCCGACGCTCCAGCTCTCTGTTCCCAGCTCTGGGCTCTTCAGTTCTCCGTTCCTGGCTCTGTCCTGGTTCACCATTAGCCCGATCATCTCGTCTGCCTTCCTGCTTCTCCTGTTCTCCTGAGCGTTCTCTCCTGCTCTGCACACCATTCTACTTCTGTGGTCTTCTGGCGTGGGGCACCTTCTCCGTTTCTTCTTCTTCTGCATGATCCAGAACCTGCTCCACCCCCAGCCTATCTGGTACCTGCTCAGCCTCTGTCCCCTCTCTCCTCCACTCAGTAACCTGTTCCTTAAATAAACTCATTTTGTGTTCCACTCAGTGTGTGTCTGTCTATTGGATCCACCTGTACCAATCCACCTAACAAAGCCAGCATGTACAGTATAGCCTGTAAGTTTTTACTTTGGTTTTTGTTTCATTATTTGAATGTCTCTCTGTAAAGTGACCTGCTTTTTGATAATACATTCCTCATAAAAAAAAAATTCTGGCATTTTTTTGAAGAATCACAATTAAATGTAACAAATAGAACCTACAATTTTGCGGCATTTGTACCTGAGTATATTCATTTTCTGCTACTGTCTAACTTCAGCTACTTTTTAGAATAAGATGAACAGGACAAAATATAGTTCAAAAAACTAACTGCAATACTGGCCTCATTTTTCAACAGATATAATTGCACAGTACAGTTTCACAACAGGTAACCACTAACATGTCCAACCTAGTCTCACCTTTGCGCTTCAAAGGTCCTTATGGTTGAAACAAGGCCAGCATTGTGGGTCAGGTAATGCACTGTGTTTTACTAACTAGATTGTGTGTGTTTTTTTTGTCTCCTATCCTTCAGTCTGGCAGGCAGTGAAGCTGGGTTACCCTATGACAAGGAGTCTATGGCAATCATCCACCTGAACAACACTACAGTCATGTACCTGAAGGAGGTCACCAAGTTCCTCACCATGGTCTGCTTCCTCCGCAAGGAAAGCTTCGAGAGGAAAGGTCAGTCCATTTAGAGTCAGTATGTTTACTAGAAACTGGCCATGTGCTTCAGCAATTCATTATGTTCTCCTTTATTTGTGCAACGCACTTGACATAGAGATGAAAAGTAGGAGGCACTATGTTGGACACCCTTGTCTTCAGAAAAAAAAGTCCCATTTTTACTAGTGGTCATCTGATTAATTGGTCGGCCAGTTTTTGGCATTTTTAGGTGATCGGCATTAACCGGTGACTGCACTCTAATCAGTTGATTTGTCTGCAGACAAATAATGTGTGTGCTACTACTGTGTGCAGTGCAGGTCTTTACAAATTTTTGTTGCTTTTCAGGAAAATGCAACTGTTAAGTGCACTAAAACAGGGCTCCAGATTGCAAGTGATCAGTCGCATTTTGCAACCAAATTTACATAAGGTGTGACTGACTTATTTTCAAAGGTTGCACTGGGTGCCACTGCAAAGTAAACAGGTTATGCGTTAATGACTGTAGAACAGTCTCTGCAATACTATCATTGCAGCGTTTCTCTGCAGGTCTGTCACTCACCCCTCTTACCAAGCAGAGATGTCTAGTCTGTCAAATAAACACGCACGGGTTCATCCCTGAACCCCTTTTTAATGCTTTGAATTTATTTTTTCCTTTGGCGCATTTGAAGTAATTGCCCCAGACAGCTGCTTAAATCAGGTAGCTCACCTCTTATCTTGTTTATTTGTCGGAAACTTGTTACTTCTGATCAGAGCATATCAGCAGAGTGGAGTAGTGACAATTTCCACTTCTCACCCACAGAGCTGTTTGCCCGCACTACTCCCTCGTTCAAAGCCACACCAGGCTGCTTGTTCATCAGCGCTCAAGTCAGATTGTATCCCTCTCCTCTCAAATTGCACCCATAAACTGTAGCCTTACATCCCAAAGAACTAAAGAACATTATTGATCTCGCAATGGCTGATTTTTGACTGAAAAGTGTTGGATGACTGCAAGACACATTCTGGGTCATCTTGGGTATGCTTCAGGCTCGTGGTGTGAGTGGTACTGGAATGGGACACAGAGCGTCACTCCCTCCTTTAAAAAAAAAAAAGCCACTCTGCACTTTATCCAGAATTCCCCCGCTTGCGGTCCGCTCCACTCACATGCTCTGCTTCTGGTGGATCAGGCTACTGGTGTCACTGTGACATCCCTGTCTTTTGTATGAATATGGGGAAATGAAAATGAATCAAATCATACATATAAACACTGCTGATTTATTGCTGATGAGCCTACATGAAAACGATTTTTGTCTGGTACATTTCTGCTGTCAGTCAGCCTGGTGAAGACCATGCTGTCCCCCTGTTGACAGACAGCTGTTCTGACAAGAGACGCTGCTGAGAGGTTGGAGTCGATGTGGATTGAATGGATCAAAGGCATCGGTATGTGCTGCTCACATCGAGTGAAGTCCCAGTTTAAAGTTAGTAGTAGCCAAAACCTACCATCAATCCTTCTTTAAGTAGTAGACTACTAGTCACTTTAGCCTAAAATGAGCTGCATTTGGCAGGTGAGGGTGAGAGCTGAACTGTGCATCAAGTCCAACACAGACAAAGAGCAGAAATTCTTCTTCAGAAGGAAAACAAGCTACAAATAAATCACATACACAAACGGCAAAGCATGCGCGTAATTCATCAGTTTATACTTAAAATGAAATATAACAGCCTAATCATCACTGTCATCATTTTCATCAGATTGACTGCTGGGCTACAGAGCACCACAGTGACTATGTAAAAGGAGGTGGAAACTTGTTCCAGAAGTGATTTTTCATTTGTGTTTAATCAGTTTCCCTATCTCTGAATTTCATTACACATATAGGCTATGCACATTGGATGGTAACAGTATTTAAAATAATTGTGAAAAATACAGATTCTTTTGCATTACCTTGCATTACCTACAACAGAGGTGGTGTCCTCCAAATCTGGCAGTGCCTCCAGTATGAAATGTTACTCTGGAGCCCTGGTTTTTTACAGTTTGGTTTTGTGATTATTTGTGAACTTTTTTTTTTTTCATTTTAAAATAATAAGATGAGTGCAGATTGTAGCACATAAGAGACAATGCTCATTTTTTTATTTTCATTTTCATAATTCATTAAGGTTAAATAAATGTTAATTTAAGTTTCAGGAAATATGTCTCATTTGTTATTAAACTGGCATATTTTATCTGATGCAAAAGGGGGGAAAACATGACATGTTACATATCAGCCATAGTTCTCTAAAAACTCATATCAGTTGACCACAAATTTTTACCATAGTTATGTGACTCACATTTGGAGCACTTCTACAGCTTACATCAGCATGAAACTACTGACAAAATCATCAGTACAAAGATTAACAACTGTGTTTGTCACAGAGTGGACTTCGGAGAAAACTGTACTGTTTTCGTCCACTGACTATGTTGGACTATTCCCCAGTTTGTCAGCTCTGAGCTCACCTACCAAGCTACTCACCCTGAGCATATCCCACACAGCATCTCTGGCTCCCTGTGGTTCTACTCACGCTCCTCTTTCACGTAGTTTCCTGCATTTCCTCTTCTCCTGGGCCAATCAGCATTCCTCCCTCCACCTTCTACAGTCATCGTCACAGCAGTTCAGTTCCAGCAACTCCCCTCATGATCTCCACTCTCTCGATCTCCTCCTCAAGTCTTCTGGACATCATTCTCTCCCTCTCTTCAGCTGGGCTCTTCCCCATCTCTTCACCTGGTGCCTGTGAGTGTTACCTCCGACCATCCAGTGATTCAGTCTTCCTCTGTCTTGTGCACTCAGGCCAACAATCTCTCTCTACCCAGCGGCCTCCACCTCTCAGACTCAATGAACTGTATAAAACATCCCACTAATTGTGAATCTTAACAGACTTGATTATTGTTTATTAAAGGCATTCTCATTTTCTTACTAGTATCTGAGTGTTTGCATTTGAGTCCAACCATTTCCTATCTCTCTCACCTCCCCCTGAGAGAGCAGACGTAACATCTTGAGGCCTGAACATCTTGTTCACCATTTCTTTGGCTCGCGGATGTCCATGCTTTGGCTCCCTCGTTCTTGGCTTTTACTGCTCTGTCATTCATGAAGCTATCTCTGCAAAGGAGATTCTGCTCTTTGCATCCCTTCTGTCAGTCAAATGCAAGCCATGCAGAGTCATGACCCTAACAATCATGCTGCAGTCTGATTGGATGTTCACTAAGACAGCTTGCTACTGGTACAGTTGCTCACTCTGCTGCTTCATGAGTCGTACTACACTGTTTAGGAGCCAAATGAATGACTCTTTGATGCTGAAAATTCTGACATCCTCGTTTACCTAAAATATTACTTTACCAAGATTTGTTTCTGACCGACACACCACTAGAGCAGTGGATCCTGAAGTAGAGGGAGTCTAAACAAAGGTCAAAATAATTGGTAATGGACTGAACTAAGCCACAAATCCAGTGTAATAAATAGAGGCAAAACTAAACGGTACAACCTAATGGGCTATGACTCAAAACTATGTACAATCAGTGTGAGTAGTGCAAATAATAAGAAGATTGTCAGATGGTTAGCATCACCAGGAGCGTTGGTGATGAGGTGCATAATAGCTTATGAGATGCACATGGACAGTAGTAGTGCAAATAACCAACAGCAGCAGATATGATGGTCAGCAGGAGATTTTCATATAATAAAAAAAGGGGGGAGCACAGCCTGGTGGATGAAGCTGTTGTAAGTCTGGTGGAGTGGGCCTGAAGACTCCGATACCTTCTTCCTGAAGGCAGGAGTCTGAAGTGGGAGTGTGAGGGGTGTGAGGTGTCATCAGCAATGCTGATGGCTCTGCGGTGTTAAATGATGTTCGTAAGGGTAGGCAGAGGGGTGCCGATGATCTTGCTGGCTGTAGTTACTATGTGTTGCAGAGTCCTTCTGCAGGAGGCAGCACAGCCTCCGTACCACACAGTGATGCAGCAAGTGATGACGTTCTCAATGGTGCCCCGGTAGAAAGAGCGCATGATGGGGGGGTGGGACATTAGCTCTCCTCAGTTTGCGGAGGAAGTAGAGGTGTGTGTAAGCTTTCTTGGCCAGTGATGTGGTGGTGTTGGTCCAGGAGAGGTCCTCAGAGATGTGCACCCCCAGTAACTTAGTGCTGCTCACTCTCCCCACTACAGCACCATCAATGATCAGTGGGGAATGCTTTAGAAGTTTTCTCCTGAAGTCCACAATGTCGGCAAAGCTGTAAAAATGGGTCCTGGAGAGAACCAAAAAACAGCCCAAGAAACAGGCCATAACAGCAGTGCAGGCCTCTGATGATCTGGCATCAGAAATGACCTTACAAGAAGAGTTGCAGGAGACTATTGAACAAATTGTCTCTTTGTCCCACAAGAACAGCAAGAATGGTTACAAGAAATATGGGAATGGCCATTAAATGATGGCGAAAGCAAGGAGATGACGAACAAGCCAAAACAGGCTGGGACTGAGCTGCATGAGCTAGAAGGAACTGCACTCGTGATAGAGAATGTCTCATTGCAAGAAGAAATGGTTATCTGGGAATTGAGGAAAAGCCTGTATTCCCCCATCACACCCGGCCCAATGGAATCGGCAGAGAATATTTGCTGAATGTTGCTGAATATTTGGTGGTACATGAATGGCAGGCCGAATCTGAGAAGGGGAGGAAAACCGCAAGAGGAGCTGGAAAAGGAAGAGAAATAATTAAAATGCTATGGCAAAATGCATAAAGTAGAAAGTTGATATTTAGTAAGTAAGGATAATGTGCGTGTTTTGTTTGAAATAATCATTAGTGAATGTGTAAGAATAAAATGTGACATGATTGTACTGGAAAAAACAATGAAAAGTGATTTTACATCTAGAATCTAAATCTAAGGAGTAAAAAATGCTGAATAACAGAAAAAGGGAAGTAAGACTCACATCCCTGCAAAGAGAAAGTGCAAGGAGTGTGTGAGTGTGTGACAGAGAAAAGAAAGAAAAAATAAAAAGAGACTGAGTTTATTTAAAAAGAATGATGGTTCCTGCATAAAGAAAAGATTTGATTGATAATGTTAATCAATGTTTAGTCAAGTGTTGTAGTCAAAATATATGTTTTAATTTTGAGGCATTGAAAGTTTTGTACGAAAGAAGGGTAATTCTCATGTTTTAGTTAAAAGCAACAATGGGATTTTTTTGTATTTCAGTCAGATGTGAGCTTCCTGTATTTTTATTAGATATTAGGATGATTTACAGTGCCTTGCGTAAGTATTCGGCCCCCTTGAACTTTGCGACCTTTTGCCACATTTCAGGCTTCAAACATAAAGATATAAAACTGTAATTTTTTGTGAAGAATCAACAACAAGTGGGACACAATCATGAAGTGGAACGAAATTTATTGGATATTTCAAACTTTTTTAACAAATAAAAAACTGAAAAATTGGGCGTGCAAAATTATTCAAATCCACATAAGGGATGACGGCAACATTCATAGATCCTGGAATGCACAATGAGGGGCAATGTTCATTCCTATTACAGAGGCCCACTGAAATTTTTTTGAGGAAAAGCTGTGTTAGACTGCATATTGTTTATAGTAAAGTATTTTTATATACAAATATAAAAATGAAAATGTTTCTGGAGTGGGACTTTAATTAATTATAGAAGTTGTGCAGAAGCTGCCCATAGCTCTACACAGTGATCCATGTGTGTACTGTATGTGTTTCTATGCTGCTCCAAATGAGTCTGTTCTGGTTCAACTTGTCTTATTAAATGAGCTTAAAAATAAAGTGACACCTTAGTTATAAAACACTGAGCAGGCTGTAACACACAAGAGTGTGTATAAAAAGTGTTGTTTAAAGTTTGCCACAAGCCACCTGGGAGACGCACCAAACATGTGGAAGAAGGTGCTCTGGTCAGATGAAACCAAAATCGAACTTTTTGGCAACAATGCAAAACGTTATGTTTGGCGTAAAAGCAACACAGCTCATCACCCTGAACACACCATCCCCACTGTCAAACATGGTGGTGGCAGCATCATGGTTTGGGCCTGCTTTTCTTCAGCAGGGACAGGGAAGATGGTTCAAATTGATGGGAAGATGGATGGAGCCAAATACAGGACCATTTTGGAAGGAAACCTGATGGAGTCTGCAAAAGACCTGAGACTGGGACGGAGATTTGTCTTCCAACAAGACAATGATCCAAAACATAAAGCAAAATCTACAATGGAATGGTTCACAAATAAACATATCCAGGTGTTAGAATGGCCAAGTCAAAGTCCAGACCTGAATCCAATCGAGAATCTGTGGAAAGAACTGAAAACTGCTGTTCACAAACGCTCTCTATCCAACCTCACTGAGCTCGAGCTGTTTTGCAAGGAGGAATGGGCAAAAATTTCCGTCTCTCGATGTGCAAAACTGATAGAGACATACCCCAAGTGACTTACAGCTGTAATCGCAGCAAAAGGTGGCGCTACAAAGTATTAACTTAAGGGGGCTGAATAATTTTGCACGCCCAATTTTTCAGTTTTTTATTTGTTAAAAAAGTTTGACATATCCAATAAATTTCGTTCCACTTCATGATTGTGTCCCACTTGTTGTTGATTCTTCACAACAAATTACAGTTTTATATCTTTATGTTTGAAGCCTGAAATGTGGCAAAAGGTCGCAAAGTTCAAGGGGGCCGAATACTTTCGCAAGGCACTGTAGTTTGCTAAGAAAAGAGAAGTAGAATCTGAAGCTGAATCACAGTGGGGCGGAGGCCAGTTACGGGCAATGGACTTGAGCTCTGACAGTAAAAGATATGCAATAGTTATGAAGAACACGACTTTGCATGCCAAATAAGGTATTAAATGCAAACTGTGGCATTTGGTTGGATGAGAGGACGAGGTCTACTGACGAGAATCCTTTAAAAACCACAGGAAAAAAGGAACTATGGTTACTCATCGGTTGTAGCCGGAGGCTCTGTCCGGTTGATTTTCTTACTTCCAGAAGCCCGAGTGACTGAAGGAAGACAGTTGAAAGAATGAGTAGGCTGTGGCTTCTCCCCACCTGGGCCTGTGGGGAAGGAAGAGAGGAAGACCACCAATAGATCCGCTACGAAGAGCGGGAACTCACTGAGGGACGATTGAACTGTACCAAAGCCTTCTCTGCCCAGCGTCCCTGGAGACAGCCTTATCATCTTACAGTTATCCTGTAACTCCCTCCACCTGCTTGGCTCTGCTCAACCCTGACTCTCCAATGTACTTCGCTGCAGTTTCCCTGATTCGTCGCTCCCCCAGAACTACACCGACTGGCTGGGTGTGTCTCAGCTCCAAATCCCAGTGCTGCTTGGCACCTCAGCCTGTCTCATCTTACAACTTCCCAGATCTCCGGGCGTGGCTAGGCCTGGTCCTGGTTCCTGCTCTGCTTCCTTCTACAAGGCTTCTCCTGGTGGACACTTGCCACTACCAGCCTTTCTGGCTCTCTCCTGCCACACCCAGCTTCAGCACTCTGTCATCCTACCAGACATCTGAATCTATCCAGCTCTCCAGTCCAGCAGCCTCTACTACTCATTTGCTCAACAAAGGACAGCCACCCTACTATCCTCTGGAATCTTCAGCCTGGTCACCCCCACCTGTCCTGACTCTGCTACCTGTTTCTCATCCATCCTGTTCCAGACACTTTCCCTCTCCAGAATCCATTTAACTAGATGGAAGACAACCCAGTGACTCATTCAACTCTACCCTTACCACTCCATTCTTTTCCCTGTACCTCAGTCCTTTATTAAAGTACTTGTCTCACTTGCCCTTTGAGTTCTGCTTTTGGTGTCCTACTTTGTGTTTAGTGGCCTTGGCCTTAACATAACAGATTTTGTTTTTCCCTACAGGACTGATTGATTACAACTTCTACTGCTTAAAGAAAGCCATCCAAGAGGTTTTTGATGTTCGAGTAAAAGTTCAACAGAGTCGTAAACTCCTCAGTCAGAGGAGGTGGAGCAAACTCACTATGACCAATGGCGCACCCAGCAAGCCCCACTGAGAGTTGGTGACATCAGTCAGCCAAATGTACTTCAGCATTGAAGAATCCAAAAGAGTCATCCTTATTTAAAGGAACACATCAAGTTTGTCATCTTTCTATGAATTGTACTGTTCAGTCCATTCAGTCCATCATCTCTCTGTTCTCAAAAGTAGCTACTGTATCTGTCAGCAGCAAAGAGGACAAATGGTCTTTTCGCACACACAAAAAAATTTTTTCCTTCTGCTCCTTGTCATCAGGGGCTGCAACAGTGGACTCACTTGATCCACATGTTCAGTTCAGCATAGTATGTGCATTGGATGCCAACCTGATGCAAGTCCCCCCTACAAGACAATTTAGAGTCACTGATTAACCTAATCTGCATGTCCTTAGACTGTGAGGGAGCCAGAATACCCAGACGCAGGGAGGACATACAAACTCCACACAGAAAGGCCCCAGTCAGCCACAGGGTTTCTACCTTGAACCTTCTTGCTGTGAGGCAACAGTGCTAATCACTGTACCTCTGTGCCACTACACAGTGACTAAATTTGCTAGACAAAAGTAGTGAAGTATTACGCTCTTCATGAGAAGGATACAGTAAATTTTATGATTTTATTCCACCCACCCTGCATAACATAGGTGGGGGCAATATACCTATACCGACCACAGAACGCTCATGCTGCTGTTAATTGGGGGCCTTCATAGTCATTATATATTGTTAATAAATTCACAATGTATAAAAAGCTGCAATTTGTAATTTTAATAGCTGTTTGTAGAGATGATGCTTTACAAAGTGCACCAGAGGGGAATAAACGTGCAGTGTTGTAGTGACATTTGTGTCTCAGAGTCAGCATAGTTGTTTCAGGACAGGTGACAGATGCCCAAAACAATCAAAATAAGGTTTTAGCCATCTATTGCAACAATATATATTTGAGTCTGCTGGTGTGGCCCTGCCCATGTGATGAACAAGGCTGAGCTAACAACCCTTCTGGTAGAGGCTTAAATTTTGAATATGACCAAATGCTAATACTGGTGCAGGAGGGCAGAGTGTTGTTGTCTGCAGGTTGAATTAATGCTGAATGTTTATACGGAGGGCCTATTGGGTGTGGGAGGTTGTGGAAATACATGACTTGTCTGCCTCAGCTAGCAGTAGACTTCATGGTACACCGAGTCGCTCTGAAATCTGTGGAGACAGTGCCACTGAAGTTGACTTGAGACTTATTGAGACTGGGTTTATGTCTCAAGGAGAGGTGGGTTGATTTTATTTTTACCTGCACTGATCAGTGATGTTATGTTCGTCTGGGACACTGTATGAGCAATTTGTCACCCCCATTCCTTTAATAATTACAGCTAAAGCTAGACAGCACAGCAGAGAATGCAAGCTTCCGCCAAGGCAACTCACGGTTTCTATAATGACATTACATCTAAAAGTAATATTTCCATGATACTGTGACCCTCATAAAATAATTCCTTGACCATGAAAACATACCCTTAGTATTTATGATTGCACTGATATTGTAGTAAAAGCTGAGTAACAGACTGACAGAATTTGCCTTTTTGTGCGCAGTCCCATGCCCCTTAAACTGCACGACCCTGGGAAGCAGTTTTTACTGTAGAACACTCACACAGACAAAACACGGTGCAGGGCATGAACCACACTAGTGACTACACTCAGGAAATAGGCAATTAACCACCTCACCACTTCTGTTGGCATTAGGCACAGTAATAGAGAGGACAGCTGTCCCCTTCGGAGTGGCTTGTGGCTAGCACTACTACATACACCTGCAATAACATCAGGGAGGGCATACAACCCAACAATACTCTGGAACAGCACAGTCTCTGGCCCAGTAGGGCATGCTGGGGGACCCCACCATAATGTCTCTCTGCCCACCACACACTACAATATCATTATTAATGTAAAAGTTATTCAAGGCAAATGATAATTCAGAAATGGCTGTTTTCTTCAAGAGCTAGCTCAGTAACTTATGAAGATGCATCAAATCTGTTGACACCCTGCTGATTCAGCAGAGTTTCAGCTCAAATTTGATCTCTTGCAAGTCTGCAGCATTATTTGTTGTCTCACAGTAGCAGGTTTTCCATGAGCCCTATAAATTTCAACATAGTGGATCACTCTGTGCAGAATATTACTTGGATCCAGATCATAATTTGGTGTATGGTAGATGTTATGATATGGGAATGTTATCTTGCAATTTTTGTCCAAGCATTGTAAGTATTATGTATTGATGCAAGAAAAAAACTGAAATATAATAATAATCTATAGGTAATATGGAAGATGAATCCCATTTGAAAATGTGTTCATTAGTTATTTAATGTTTTAAAACATTATTATATAAAAAGTCAAAAGCCTTGAATGGGCTTAAATGGTACCGTGGCACCATAGCACCATTTAAACCCATGTTTCAAATAAGCCCACATCATGATTTGCTGATAAAATCTCAAAAAGATTTTGTTTTAAAAGAATTCATATCGGCAATGAATTTACTCAGTAAATTGTTTATTGTAGAAGGTCTTGATGTTTTTCTGGTTTCTCAAGTAAATGCCAAAATGAAAAACCAGGCAAATGGTTTAAATTCTCCTTTTTTGCTTATATCGAAAATGAAAATATAAGTGGGTTTATTATTTTTCACCTGCAGCTTTGCCTAAATACTGTTTTCTGCTCACAGCAAGACAATTTAGCTTTTCCATGGACAGATGAATCACCAAGAAGATGACCTGATTTTGCTCAGTTGTCAGAATGCCTATAGGCTTCTTGTGTGTATGTGCGCATTTCACTGAACATCCTGTATATGCTTTACATTCAACACAAAGCTGCAGGTCAGTGTTGTTGTTGTTAGTGAAAATTTCTAGGTAATTCTGAAGTGAAGTGAGCATGTGCTGTTCCAAGATGGTGCTCCCCTGTGTGCGACGTCGTGGAGCTCTCCGAGTCAAGTTGTTTCTCTTTCTCTTTCTTGCTTACTTGTGCTGTGTTAAGGCAATAGTAAAGGCTGCAAACGTTATTTATGACCGGGCGAACTTGTTGCAGCTAGGAGAGTGCAGTCTTTTCAGAACATGACGCCAGGCCAACCCCCGGCAGGGAGCTCTTCTGATAACAACAGGCTGAAGCGGAGACACGGCAGACGGGGAGAAGTCAAATGGAAGCTCCGGCACTTGGTTGGGAGGGGTAGGCTAACCCTCCCAGTTATACTGTTTGCAAATGTCCAGTCCCTGGATAATAAATTGCATGAACTCCACGCTCGGGTTTCCACGCAGAAGGACATACAGGACTGCTCACTGCTGTGCTTTTGTAAAACATGGCTGGGGGAAGGGACACCTACTAGGGGAAACAAAACACTGGATCACTGTTACAGTAACATTAGAAATGCTTTCTCAGCAGAACCCAAGGCTCATTTTGGTAGATCTGACCACCTAGCAATCCGGCTCAAGCCAGTTTACACCAAATAGCTCAAGGCAAAACCAGTCACAGTGAGAACTGTTGACACTTGGACGGACTGTGCACAAGCCAGCCTGCAGGGCTGTCTAGAGGCCACAGACTGGAACGTCTTCAAAGGGGCCAAAGACAGTAATCTTAAATATACAAACACTGTGAGCGATTACTTCAGCTGGTGCACATCCATATGCGCCCCACCTAGAACTGCATGTCTTCCCCAACCAAAAACCCTGATTCAATGTGGACATAAAACAGAAAATCAGGAAGAGGCGGGAAGCTTTTTTTTTTATTGAAACAAAGTAACAGATTAACAAAACAGGACCGAACATGGGAGACAAGACAACAGATACATGACATTACAAAAAGATAGTGTATTACAAGATTGTAGTGTGTGAAGTGTGCATAAGTTGGAAATACCCAGTCTATGAAATGGAAGAAAGGAAAAAGGAGAATTTTTTTTTTTTTTACAATAATAATGATGAGTATTACTAATAAAATCAGCTTGTTAAATTTTTAGAGGTTGGTGGAAATGTGCGTGGCCTCAGCCCCAGGTGTTTGGTTCAAGTTGAAATGTTTTAGAAATCAGTTCCATGTGTCATAAAAAGCTGATAAACTGTTCTTGTGAGTGAATGTCATTTTCTAATGTGATGTATTGTATCAGAAGTTTGGTCCACTGGTTTATGTGTAGTGATTTTTTTTTTATTTCCAGTTTTGAAAGATTGTTTTCTTGGCAACAGCTAGAGAAATGAGGAGTGGGTTTTTGTATTTGATTGGTAGATGGTCGATTTCTATGATATTACCGAGTAAGCAAAGTGATGGAGAATGAGGGATTCTACAGTCCAAGATGGTGGAGAGGGAATGAACTGGTTGGCAGGTCCAAATAGCATGATAATAATTGGACCCTGGACCTTGTCATTTCTCGGGGCCTATCTGTCTGTATCAAGGATGTATCGAACCTGGCCATCACGGATCACTTTCTTATCCATTTCGAAGTTCTGGCATCGACAAATGCTCCTAGAACGTTGGCCCCCTGCCAGCGTCGTAGGATTGTCACCTCATCTACGGCGTCGGATTTTGCCATTGCCTTTTCTGCTTCTGAGCTTTGCTCCTCAGGGGCTGAGAACCTCCCGGCATGCCCTAACACCTTCCTCGGCTTATTTGACTCTACTTGTTTTAGGATTATGGAGTCCATCGCTCCCTTTGTGAAAAGGAGGGCTAGAAATACTGTTGACCCTTGGTTGAACGACACCACCCGTGCCCTGTGGAGACGGTGCAGGCAGGCGGAGCGGAAATGGAAGAAAGATGGACTACATGTTTCCCTTGCCTTGCTATCGGACAACCTTTCTTTCTTTCTTATCAGAAAGCTGTAAAAGATGCTAAATCGCAATACTTATCTAATATTAGTTTGAAAAATAGTCAACACCCAAATGTTTTCTTCAATACCATTAACTCAGTCATTAATCCCCATGCTACATTGGCCACTGAGGGCTTGGTTGCGAATTGTAATCAATTTCAGAGATATTTCACTGATAAAGTGTCAGGTCCGCTCGACGCGACCTGCCTCTCTCCTGCTCGCTCTTTTTGCGGGATCAGCACCTCAGCTGTGTTGCTTTCTGTAATTAGTGACTTGTGGGTTGTCGCACACAGCTGGGGTGCATTACTGTATTACCTGCTCTTTTATTTAAACCTCGGGCAGACGCTCCATCGTCGGATCATTACCAAATACTGTTAAAAACAGTGCTATCTAAATGCATGTGTTTTTTGTTACTTGTCACATAAGTCTTCAACGTTGACAGTTCCTGTGCTGTTGATTTCTGTCCCGTGGGTACCTGACAGCTAACGCTAGCAGCGAGTGCTACACCTGCCCGATCTTCTGTTCTCCTGTCTTCTCAACATTCGCCGTTCTCCTGTCTACTCACCTGCTTATCTTGGTCTCCTCAGCCATCATTGTTCTACCCTAGTCCGGAACTATACATGTACTCTGTTACTTTGTCTGTGCCCTCATTAAACCACCTTTTTCACTAGCACCTGGGTCTGCACAGTGAGTCCTACCTCTGTTCCCCCTCACCCTCCTGGTGAGGGGGACTCAACCTTAACATAAAGTTCTGAATATTAGGCAACATTCCCATGTCCCTACCTCATGTACTGTACCACCTGTATCTCATGCACTCCATATATTTGATTCCTTTTCTCCGATCTCTCTGCATCAATTTAAAAAATTTGTCTCGCACCTGAAGCCCACCTACTCTCCTCTGGACTTAGTCCCAGCCAGGATTATTAAGGAGGCTATCAACACGGTAGGGCCTACCTTGGTCACTCTCATCAACTGCTTCCTCAGCTCGGGGTTGGTTCCCACCGCCCTTAAACATGCCGTAGTGAGACCTCATCTTAAGAAATCTAACCTTGATCCAGCCGATCCATCTAACTTCCGCCCAATTTCTTTACTGCCTTTTTTATCTAAAGTAATGGAAAAATGGTTCTTATTCAGCTGCAGTCGCACCTAGATCATTTGGACATTGCTGACAAATTTCAGTCAGGTTTTAAGGCCCACCATAGTACAGAGTCTGCTTTGCTGACGGTCCATAATGACATCGCCATGGCTCTTGACCCCAACCGCCTCGTTATTTTAGCTTTACTAGATTTATCGGCAGCATTTGATACTGCTGACCATGCAGTTTTATTATCTACACTGGAACACCTTGTTGGCCTGAGGGGCACAGTTTTAAACTGGTTTAGTTTTTTCTTGAGAAATAGAACCTTTTCTGTCATTATTGATGATTTTTCCTCCTATACAGCCCATCTTACCTCTGGCATCCCACAAGGGTCAACCTTGGCACCTTTACTTTTCTCTTTATATATGGCACCGTTGACGTCAATTATATCCAGGCATAATGTTCATTTTCATTTTTACGCGGATGACATTCAGATTTATATGCCACTGGTATTATCTGACCCAAATGCACTTACTCCACTGTTTGACTGTATTTGGGATATCAAGATTTGGCTTGCCCAGAATTTTCTTCATTTAAATGAGAATAAGACCGAATATATCTTTATCAGCCCCGATCCAGCCGCAGGTGTATCCAGTTTACGTGCCCCTGCACTCACAGACCTGGTAAAAAACCTGGGAATGATATTTGATACCAGTTTTAATTTTGATAAGCAGATCAGAGCCGTCGTCAACACCAGTTTCTTTCACCTCAGACTATTAATGAAGGTTAAGCCTTTTTTATCCTGAGGAAACTTAGAAAAGGCGATCCATGCTTTTGTTACTTCGTGATTAGACTACTGTAAAGCCCTTTACGTTGGTATATCTCAGTCGTTGCTGAGGAAACTTCAACTGGTCCAAAATGCAGCAGCTCAGCTTCTTTCCAATACTCCCAGGTATGCCCATATTACTCCTGTTCTTCTCATATTACATTGGATGCCTGTACATTTTAGAGTTGAGTTTAAGATTCTTTTATTTGTGTTCAAAGCCTTACATGGCCTTGCTCCACTTTACCTGTCTGAACTTTTATCTATTTATGTTCCTCATAGAGCCTTGTGCTCTTCTAATAACCTGTCCCTAGTGGTTCCATGGTCCCGATCCAAAAAATGGGGTGACCGTGCGTCCATCCTCTGGAGCAGTCCTTTCATTTTCCTGCCTGGTCCGCAGGACATTCACCAGAACAGCCTCAGCAGCTTCCAGCCAGGTCCAATGTAATATTTGGTTTGCAGCCACTGATTTGCATCTGGGATGCAATTCACAGCTTGTTAGCAACTACAATCCTGTGAATTCACCTAAACAAATAATAAATGCAAGCAATTAAACAATGCTTTAATATAATTGATAGTGGGCAGCCAATTGCTAATTGATATGTAATCTAATATTACAGATTGTAGTAGCATAATGTTATTGGTGATTCAATTATTTACATAATCTTTACAAAACTAAGTGTTTAATAAACCCAGGATAAACTATGAAAATGTATACTTGGTGGGAACTGTTACTGTTCTTTCATTCAACTGTGGCACTTGTCCTGCAGTTTAAATTATAGTGACATGTCAGGCACTGTGTTAGCAGCTGTTCTTGATTTGTTCCTTCTTCTGTTTCGACTGTCTGCTGATGAGTTTGAATGCTGTGGGAAATGTGAATTTAGTACGAGTAAAATCTGAATTCAACAGTCACAAATATAGAAATGCCATTAGAATTGCTCAGAGATAGGATGAGGAGCTCGGTCACCCGGGAGGAGCTCAGAGTAGAACCGCTGCTCCTCCACATTGAGAGGAGCCAGCTGAGGTGGCTCGGGCATCTGTTTCGGATGCCTCCTGGATGCCTTCCTAGGGAGGTGTTCCGGGCATGTCCCATCGGGAAGAGGCCCCGGGGAAGACCCAGGACACGCTGGAGGGACTATATCTCTCAGCTGGCCTGGGAACGCCTTGGCATTCCCCCGGAGGAGCTGGAGGAAGTGTCTGAAGTGAGGGAAGTCTGGGCATCTTTGCTTAGACTGCTGCCCCTGCGACCCGGTTCCGGATAAGCGGAGGAAAATGGATGGATGGAGTTGCTATTACTGTATATTTAGAAACATATCTGTATACCTTTGGTAAAAGAAAGTGTTCACTGTGGTCTCAAGGCAAGGCACATTTTGGCATGTGGATAGAGAAGTTAAGTAAAGGCCTTAGAAATAGTAAGGAAGCTCACTGTAGTATTCTGCACAGCTTCTACATCATAAAAAGCTGAAAAGGTAAATGTTATTTTTTATGTTGATAAATAATCTATTTTTACACCTTATATATTATTACTGTTTCTGTGGTGTATAGGCATTTGGGAGGAGGCTTCAGTACACAATCCTGCCTTTTAGGAATCCAGAATAACTGACATGACTAACATGAAAAATATGAATCATTTCTATAGATTGGTGAATCCTTAACACACTTCATAGTAAAACATTTAAAATGACATAATTATTTGAAATAGCAGATATACTAGTAGAGGTTAGAATTCCTGGATGTAGATCAGTTTTCAATTGAATCATATTTTGCTACTAATATTTGATGAAAATATAATATTTCACATTATTTTCACAGAGTTGGTGGATTCTCAGCACTTATGTTTAAATCATTGAGAAACCCATGAAACATCATTTCAGAGAGTTTCTAGAGTTTTTGGTAATTAGTATTGAGTCAATTTTTGCTTAAGTTGCAATTTCCCTGTACACTTAAAGCTTTGTTTACTAAACACGGAAGCTTCCATCTCTGTTGTAGTGTCGTTTACAAAGAGCTACTGAAGGCGACATGACAGGCTCCGTGTAGATTCCATTGACCAGCCCCTCGCCGTCTCGGCTCTACTTCCTGTTTGCCATAACTTTACTGTACACAGGACACGTTCACGCCAGCGGCTCATCTCACCTGATGAACACAAAATCGTAAGTGTTTCTATTGTTACACTTCCCACTTGTATTTGACCAGCGGGCTAAATGTGAAGCGCTGTTCAGCTAGCTTAGTAATAATAGGCCTACCCCTGCCGGGTAACTCCCTGTGGTCTGTCACGCTCAGTTCTACTTTCAAATTACCGTGACGTTAAGGTTACTGTAATCAGGCGCGCACATTTACTACTCACCCGTTTCGATCAGTTGTATTAGGTGACCGCGTGTACTACCGTAAACTAATGCGCTCCTAAGGTTGAATCTTCATTTACAATCGGCATGGCGTATAGGTCGTTAATAACAAACTGAACTTGCAGCCTATGCTCAAGTTACACTGTGTGTAGCTTAATAAGCGACCTTGAATTAAACACGCTCCGGTGGGAACGCAACAAACAAAAAGAGTGAATATTATCGCCGTCTTGGGCATGTGTGACTGAAATGGATTGGAGTTAGTGTTAATGCCAGTTTACTGCACGAGCTGTCAAACTGCAGGAGGATATGCTGTCATTGTTTATGTGCAGACTTCTGTGGTTGCTGCAGTTCAACCAAAAAGCAGCTTTTTTCTTATCAGGTTGTACAGCACTGCAACATTGTGACGCATGTTTAATGATATAGTTGGTAATAGAAGTTATGAAGTGGTAGCCTACTATGTGAGGAATGTCATGATGGGGAGAAATGAGTCATTTAGGACAATGGCCCAGACTCTTTTTTTTTTGTTTTTCAAAATGATTTTGTGCTTCTCTGTGCTCCTGCAGTGCTAGTGCTCCTCTCTCCCATGCTTTTGGGATGGCGAGTTTGTGGGTTGGTGTTTCCGCGCCTGTTTGCAACAAGCGTGTAACCTCACAAACGCACGGTTTCGTCAAACCGACTGAAAATTTGGAGCCCAACATCCACTAATAACCACATGCTAAGATCAGAATATTATTAGAATATGAATATAACAATATAAATTAAATGAAGCTTTTTTTTATTATTTTTTTTTACGTTTTAAACATATACTTGTGACGGACGTGCAGGTCCGCTGCCATCCTCCAGGGGGTGCTGCAGCACCCTCACAGCCTGGCTCCCGAGACCGCACTGAATTTTTATACAAGGCAATACTGGCCTTGATGCATTTGACAGCATTTCTGGATTTTTTTTTCATTACCTGGTTCTTGAAAATACACAAACACTTTGGGGGACAACTTTTTTCAATTTCTATCAAAAGAATAAAATAAAATGTGGCTTCAGAAATCCTTCAGATTTTGCACATTTTATTGTGTAGTAGATGTAATTTTAAGTGGATAAAATTGCATTCTTTCCCCATTTTTAGATATTTAAGCAAAGGGAGTCAAATTTATTTGTATAGCCCAATACCACAAATCACAAATTTATCTCAAGGGCTTTTTTAAAGTGATTCACATGACAAACCCATCCATTCAGGTGCTTCGTATGATGTCTGGGGCACTCAACTGTTTCAAATGTCATTGAAGTGCTTCAAACGTCACTAGTCACATGACCAAAACACGCCTTGGGACAGTGGTTCGATGCGATTGCTTCATGAGCTACCACACATGTATGTGTGCGGTTTATTCTACTGTCAAGAGTAGCCTACTTAGGATATAAAAACAAGAACGATTAGAGCTTTTTAACTCGAGCATTAATAGAAGCATCACAGTTTTAGTTATTACTTTTAGGCTATTAATAGCCCACTTACTTCAGAGAAACATTTTTTAAATCAAATATTTTTATTTACTAGAGATGCATCGATTGCAGTTTTCTTGGCTGATTCTGATTTAAGTCTGACCTGCCGAATCTCATTTTCTTACGCATACGCTGACATTTTTGTAACTTTTCTTTAATTAAAAACGTTATTGTAATAAAAATAAAACATTGTATTCAAGTTTTTACATATTCCAATTTTAATCTCACTCCTAAATTTTTTTTTTTTTTTTTTTTACAAACCTCCAACTAAAAATTAAGTGCAATATTTGTACTTCTTTAAATATAAACAGGTGTAACAGGTTACAGAAACAGAAGTGTTTAATCTTTAATCTGTTAAATCAGTCCTACATAGCACAGTTTGTTTTGAAGGGTTTTTAGTTATTATTTGCTGTGTTTTACCACGGGTTGGATGCACCGTACATACAGTATACATGCATTTCACGGTTAGCTATTAATTCCCTCTGTGTGTAATATTTTTCAGAGATTTGGACATAGTTTCTTCTCCTCCTGTTTGTACACTAAGCACTACTAGTGTGTGAGTGAACACCTACCTCAGTACAGACACGAGCATAAATCTCTCTCGAGGTGCATGAAAGATGCTATGTGCTGCACATGCTATGCCTTTGGTCTGTGCCACTGCATGCGTGATGTGAGCTGTCGTGCCTCTAAATCAGAACGGCACAGAATCTGATGTCTCACAGTGGTCAACTGGTAACCAGTCAAGGTCAGTCACGCTGAAAACTGGTCATTTCCCTTCTCTGCTGATCGATCAGTGCACGTGTCCAAAGCATTGCCTACAATCATTCAAGTGGGCCGCCTTCAGAAAGTTGGACCCATTGTCAGCTGTTAGTATAGATATATGTAGTCACAGTATATACTATACATTTGTGAGATGTTGGGGTCAACTACCTCTCCTCTCCCAGACTTCAGGATTTAAGGGCTTCTTAAGCCTTGTGCAATTATTTCTTGGGGTGTTCATTCGGGAAATATGATGTTTGCAAACAGTAGTAACACAACACCCAGTCATCACTGAAAGTGTAATGTTCTGCTGAGATATACAGTATGATCCATTGTACAACTTGACCAAAGTTGTGTTGTAGAAAAGTAAACAAGTCTATGTAGATCCACTTTCAGCTTACTTTGGTGATGTTGGTATAATGTTAGGATAGCAGATGTAGTTAGCAGTTTGCTAGTGCTGACAAGAACCGTGACAGTGACCCAAAAAGCTTTACTATATATAGTCCTTCTCTCTTTTTTAAAAACAAAACTTCCAAATTGAAGATGCAGCTCCTGTCTTGGATACAAGTTCTTCTGGTGCATCTCCAGTCTAACCTTCTTCAGGTCCAGTCTTCTTCTCTCACTCATCGGTCGAATAGCTACTGTCAAAATGAAAACTCTACCTCAAATCAACTATCTGTCTACAATGCTTCCCACAACACCCAGAGATAAATGGTTTAAATCACTTGATTCTATAACTTCACAATTTTATTGGAAAAAAAATACTGTACGTCATATCCACCACACCTTTCGCTCAGAAAGTAAGTAAGTAAAGAACTGTAGACTATAACCAGTGACATGAAGCATGTGTCCTGGTTTTGGTTGGTTTGCCTTTTAGCATTAAGTGTCCTCTGATACAGACTGATTGCAGTGTTTTGTTTTGTTTTTAGGTCTGTGACTAATCATGACACAGCAGGAACAGCAGGAGTTCACTGAGAACTTGGAGGCAGCTCTCTGCTGGATGCAGGCTATTCAGGAGAGGTTGAAAGCCAATGACAGCACCCAGGGGCCCCGTGATGCCCTAGAGGCCCGACTCAGGGAGACAGAGGTTAGATACTTCACTTACTGTTTGAGCCTTCATCTCTGACTCTCCTGCTACTACTTTGCTCAATCATTAGTCTCCAAAGTGGAGACAGCTGCAGTTTCTGGTCCTTTGGGCAAGGTATGGTATCTAAGAATGCTTTTTTGGTGACACATTTTTAATGTTATTTTAATAGATATACAAATAAATCAAGAAACTATAGAAACAGACATAGTTATGTCAAAACCTAAATGACATGTGTCCTTAGTCAAGAAGGCGAATAAAACACAACCGGTCGAGGCAGAAGGCTGCCCACCGAGAGCCGGGGTCTGTCTGAGGTTTCTTCCATTAAAGGGAGTTTTTCCTCTCTACTGTCGCTAAATGCTGCTCAAGGGGGATTAGTTGGGTTTTTCCTCTATAATGATAATAATAATAATAGTAGTAAGGTCTAGACCTTACTTTGTAAAGTGTGATTTGGCACCTATATATAAGATTGAATTGAATAGAATTTCCAGCCATTTAATGTTTAATCTTGGATACCTCTAGATTAGCTTTGCACCCATCACAACTCCAAATAGTTTGCAATTATTTCAGAATGATAAAACCGGAGACCCTCTTCCTAAAAATGACAGGATAGTTCGTGAACACAAACACCTCCTGCTGCTGGTGTTGTGTCGAAAGTGGACAGCACAAGGAACCGCAACAGTATTAAGTAATTTAAATTTCTCCTGCATAGATAGCTGTGTATGTATGTATGCGTGTGTGTGTGTGTGTATATTAGTGCTGGGATCCGACTAAAATCCCTAATCGCATTAACTGCATGATTTTCTGTGATTAATCGCATTTAGCTGCATTGATATGAGCAGCATTCAATTATGAATTCAAAAGTTGTGTCTTGCGCACTTTTGTTTTAAAATTACTGCTATATGAACAAAAGTGTAATAACATTTGGTTTGCAAACACTTTAAACAAATAGGATGTTCAATTTGATGTTGTTCTAATTCTGCAGCACTTGCTGGGCTGTGTTTAAAGTGGCCCACAACCTTTCTGCATTTGGCCAGGACATTGTCAAATGCACTGTTCTGTAGAGAAACTGTGACAGAACAATGGAGACTGTGCACGATGCAGGGGACATGTTCAAAAGGCAGATGTCTTGTCAAATGCACTGTTCTGCAGAGAAACTGTGACAGAACGATGGAGACTGTGCACAATGCAGGGTACAAGCAGATGGCTCGCAGCAATGATCATGTTTCTTGATCATGCTAAGTGTGCTGACTTTATTTGAAACGTTCCACTGCTGTGCAACATGAATGAAATGCTCTGCGCATGTGTCAGCAAAATGTCTCTCTTCTGCTTTCATTACAGTTAGAGCATATGAATGCAGTTCATCAATATAATGCACTGTAACTCCGAGGTAATTAGTTAATTGGCAGGTAATAACATTAGAGCAGACCCACCAAGGCTGGAGACTGAACAATTCTGGAAGAGCATAAGGGAGAAGCAAGCATCACATAACAACAATGCCCAGTGGCTGGTGGACATAAGAGCAGACCACAACACCCTGCCTGAACAAGATCCAGTAACCATCACAATGGCAGACATTCAAGAGAGGGTCTCAAGTATGAAGAGCCGGACAGCACCAGGCCCTGACATGATCCACGCCTACTGGTTAAAAATGCTAACTTCACTCCATGGTTGCCTGGCAAGACAAATGAACCAGCTGCTAATGGATGGAAACCACCCTGAGTGGTTAACTGAAGGCCCGACGGGCCTGATCCCGAAGGACCCTCAGAAGGGAGTAGTACCATTCACCTACCGCCCAATAACCTGCCTCTGCACAACATGGAAGCTCCTGTCAGGCATCATAGCAGCTAAGATGGGCAGGCACATGACTCAATACATGAGCAGGGCCCAGAAAGGAATTGGTAGTAACACCAGAGGGGCAAAGCACCAGCTACTGGTTTATAAAGTAGTCACTCCAAGCCCAGACATACCAACCTGTGCACTGCCTGGATTGACTACAAGAAAGCCTATGACTCAATGCCTCACACCTGGATCCTGGAATGCTTTGAACTGTATATCATTGACAGGACTCTAAGAGCCTTTAAGAACTCAATCGTAATGTGGAAAACAACGCTAGAGACCAACATCAAGCCAATTGCACAAGTCAACATCAAGTGCGGTATCTACCAAGGAGATGCTCTGTCCCCGCTGCTGTTCTGCATAGGGCTGAACCCCCTCAGTCAGATCATCACCAAGAGCAGTTACGGATACTGACTATGGAAAAGAGCAACCATCAGCCACCTTCTCTACATGGATGACATCAAGCTGTATGCCAGGAGTGAACAAGACATCGACTCACTGATCCACACCACTAGGATCTACAGCCAGGCCATCAGAATGTCATTCAGACTGGATAAGTGTGGCCGAATGGTAACAAGGAGAGGGAAGGTAGTCAGAACTGTGGGGATTATACTACCGGAAGGCAACACAGCAAATGTTGAGAACAGCTGCAAGTACCTTGGGATCCTGCAGGCAAATGGGAACCATGAAGAAGCCGCAAGGAACGCAGCAACTACCTGCAGAGAGGAGGGCAAGTCCTGAGAAGTCAGCTGAATGGAAAGAACAAAGTCTGGGCGATTAACACCTACGCCATGCCAGTTATCAGGTACCCCACTGGCACGATAAGATGGTCAAAGGAGGAGATAGAGGCCACTGACATCAAGACAAGGAAGCGCCTTACAATGCACAGAGAGTTTCATCCTAAATCCAGCATCTTGAGACTGTACACTAAGCGGAAGGAAGAAGGATTAGTGAGCGTCAGAGCCACTATCCAGGATGGAACAACAAAGATCCATGAATACATCAGGAAGATGGCCCCGAGTGATGATGTGCTTAGTGAATACCTCAGGCAGCAGAAACCAGAAGAACAAGGGAAGGAAGAGCAGGAA